AAAACAGGACTTTTCGAGAACAAAGCGGACGTTGAATGCAATAAAACAAACCTTGATTATCTGGACTTTTGGATGTCATCAATTTTTTCCTTGGTAAGTCCAGATGTTCCAAGCTCTCAAGAAACCGCTCCGAATGCTCGTCATGTTTTGCCACGGAGGCTTCCCCCAGTATTTCTGGTATGCACCCATGCTGACGTGCCGTTTGGTGGATCTAACGCCAGAGACCTTGCTCTAAAAATGTATGGTTTTTTGCAGAGCAAGACGTACGAGGGACATCTGTATAAGGATGTGTTCGTCGTGAATAATACAAAGTCTGGGAGCGAAGAAGAATGTATTGAAGTTAAACGACTAAGAGAAGAGGTTCTTGCTGTCGCAAAGGAACTACAACAGACGAAAGAAGAAATTCCGGTGAAGTGGTTGAGGTATGAAAACAAGCTTCGCAAAAAGCATGACAAGTGGATAACACATGAAGAAGCCAAGAGGATTGCATTTGAAGACTGTGGAATCCAAGAAGATGATGAGTTTTCCACTTTGTTGAATTTTTTGCATGATCAGAGAATTGTGATTCATTTTAGAGGCTCTCCAGAGTTGGAAAGGACGGTGATATTAGATCCTCAGTGGCTTGTTGATGTCCTCAAAAACGTAATCACTGTAAGGCGTTTTAAACACACGGAGCATCCTGTCAAAGACCTGTGGATCCAACTTGAAGAAACCGGAATCTTGGATGAAAAGCTCATTGACCATGCTTGGAGAGACTTGCTTGAAAACCAAGAAAGTCGCAAGAGCCTCATTGCCATCATGGAGAGATTAAGCTTGCTTTCCCTTTGGCCGTCATCTAAAGATAGTAAGCAGTACCTTGTACCGTCCATGTTGATGTCACCCCCAACAGATGACGTCCTAAAGCTTCTCGACTCTGTAAACATTCCATCTCTTTTTTTAACATTTGCATCAGGTCGAGTGCCTCCTGGTCTATTCTCTCGACTTATCCTACTTTTCCTCCAATGGTCTGGCGAAGAATGGAACAGGGAAATGAGCCCACGGTTGTTTCGTAATTTTGCCTGGTTTCACATTCTTCCAGACCAAGGTGTCTCCGTCATTTTTTGGTGCCATGCCTCAACAATCGAAGTCGCCATTTACAGCGGAGACAATGACAAGAAAAGAGCAGATATATCCCGTGCTGTTCACTGGAAATTGAGGTTTATACTTGAGTGCATGCGGAAAGAGTTTCACTGGCTCAACAACGTGAAGTACGATATGTGTGTCTGCTGTCCGGTCTGTTCTCAACCAGGGTCGGTAAAATGCCGCGGTCATGGCGTGCGTGGATGTGAATGTCTTCACTACTTGTCAGAATCTGATTTGAGAAAGCGTCAACATTGCAACAGACCAGCACGCAACCTTCTTGGGGATTGCAGGATTCGGGTCAAGCAGTTTGAATGTTGGTTCTTATTTGGAGAAGAAGAGGAAGGTGCCGGAATGTCAACGAATCAGGTACTTTGCCAGTCTCATCCTCTTCCTTGGGTGGATAATAAAAGACGCTAGTACTTTTTATGTTCAATGTCATTTTTTTAAAGTGGTTTAAGGGTGGATTTAATTTGATTTTTTAGCAGCTGCAAGCTCTACACGTAACAAGTCATGGAGGCTTCCTTGGTGCGAAAGGCATAGTTTCCATAGAAGGTAAAAGGTCCATATCTTTCATGTCATTATATCATAATAACAATGTCGTACTTAAAGAGAGAGCTGACAAGATCTCTTCTCGTATAATTTTAGAGAAATTTGCAAACGTTTGTTTCTATTAGAAGAGACTTTCAACAAACTCAAAATATTTGGGCGTAAGAAAAATACACTCTGTCCAATTAATTCTTTCTTATTGCATTTAAATTCGTTTTTCGTTATTTCCAATTCGTTCTAAATCATTTTCAAGGAACGAAACGGATAGATCTTGCGCTTCCTGAGAGTATCCAAACGTCCATCCAGTCCATTCCACTCAACTCAGAAAGTGATGTGAAGGATATTGTGATTAAGTTTCGAGAATCTCTGCAGTTGGAACCAGCATCTTTCGACAGTCCGGAGCCTGAGACGAAAAAAATGATTCGTGGCCTTGCCTTGAGAGCTAAATCTGAGAAACGGGATGACTTGGTGAGACACTTACGAGAAATTACACCTGCTGGTACTACTGGTGAGTTTAAGAAGATGAGATTTTCTTTTTCGCACGGGGAGGGGGATAAGGTTTCTACACAAGCGTCCTCTCGATGTATCATTAAAATAATGTCAACGCGTGCTAAATTTTATTGTGTAGCTGTATTTCTTGTTGTTGCTGTTGGTGCGCTTTTGATCTACTTATATGTATTTTTGTTTTGGTTTTAGGTTTTCGAAAAAAAATTCTGCTATATTAATCTTCTTTTAGTGTTTGTTTGTCTCTACAGGGCCGTTGTTGAATGAAGATATGTCAGTTGGTTGCATGCCATATAAACAATACGAGGATTTAACGTTCAGCCTCTCGGGTAAGGAACTAGGTTGGCGTCCGCACACCCATTTATTCATAAACTAGTTGTAACCTTTGTGTGAAGTCATAGGTTTTCGTCTCTCGACTCTGAAAAGGACTCTCGAAAAAACTCGGGCCTTGACAAGATTCGATTCTACATATGCGTTTTCAGATTATATTCCGGCTAGGTTGTTTCATAGCCAGCTAAACTTCGTCAGCTTTCGTCAAAACCCTTTCCAGAAGGATGAGCTGCCAATATCTATACGAAATTTGGAGGATATCGGGCGCCAAGAAAATGCGAGCGATTAATGCCATTAGCCCATACGGGCAACAGTACAGTTCGGTTGTAACAAAATTTATAAAAGAGCATAATATATTTTTCCTCATAGGTGGAGACGAGTGGAAACTGTTAGCAGAAAGGCTAGGCTTATCCCAAATCCAAATTCGCTTTCTAGACAAGAGAGTTACGAATCCTTCTGATGTCGTCCTCGGCGCTGTGGGAAAGCATCGCCACCTGAGTGTTAGAGAAATCTATGATACATTAGTCGAGTGCGAGTTACCAGCTATCGCAGATCTAATGTAAATTAGAAAATGAATACCGGAAGAAGGCGAGTGACACAGCAAGAGGCAGAAGCAAGAAGCAAGGTAGCAGCCGAAGACTTATTTGCGAGAGATCTACGGAAAAATACACTTCCTGAGCTGGGAGTCGATAAATTATGCGTTGAGGCGCGTTAGCATTATTTGAGCAGATTTATAGTTGCTTATAATTGTATTTTGGTAAAGTAAGAGAAAAAAACCTTTAAATGTAGATTTTCTTTGAATTTATATTTTCGTTGTCCTTGCCAGTAGATATATCATACAAATGAAGTTATTATGAATTAATCTGGAGTAGTTGTTGTATTTGAAACGGAGAAACTACGGAAAAAGGACCGAGGTTGACTTATCTCCACTAACAGAGGTATAGCCTCGGATAGGGCCTGGTAAATAGCATGTGACCGAACTTCTACATATTAGAGTCATGGCCTTTAATTCAAGTAGATTTCTGTGTATTCTGGCCAGTTTCATGAACTTTTTTCAAAAGTACCAGTAAATCTAATTCTTATTTCTAGCGAAAAACAAATTTTAACATGGTGAGGACATGCTGAAATGATATAGTTTTGCATTACTTTTTATGTCTACATAGCTGTGGTTTTGGTGCTAATTTTTGTCTTTCGAACACGAACAACAAATGTTCATTTTATCGGAATATTGGTACAACATAATAACAGGAATTTACGGCGCAGGGAAGGGATGGGATCCTCCGCTAAATAGTTCAAATAAATAACATGCTAGACTCGTTTGAAATCTAGTCGTAAGCATCAAGTGTTTCCTTCCTATTAAGTAATGACAAACTTTCTTGAACCGCGGAACTCGAACGAAGTGACAAGGTTTCCTTGTACATGTAACATCTGTATTGGTATCCAGTTTCCATATTTTCTTGACAAATACACTGTTAGAAAACAATGAATCTCGTAGTTAGTAACGCATGTACACTCTGAAATTCCCTTTTTGGTTTGATAAAAGAATAAGACGGATTTTGTTTCAGAAAGAAAAAAACTTAGTTGAACATTAGATTAACCTTTCAGATTGCAGTTATCCATCTATACCCTTGGGTAGAGAAAGACGTTTTGAGAGTGAAGTGCACTATTGAAAAAACAATGATTTGTTGTAGTAAGTAATGCACACCGAAATATATTCGATGATCGGTTGTGCATGAATTAATTTTGAGTGTAACTGCTGTGGCAGCACATCTTACCTCCGTTTGACCTATATGTGTATGCTTTGTATGCCAAAGTAAATTCAAACTAAAATCGTGTGTGTTTTAGCTTATCAAGTGATGGAATGAGCAAATTAATAAATCCTAATTCGCTTGAAGAAAGCGAAAGATTTATCTAATTGCTCCTACCTTCCCTGGGCCGCGGCAGACCAAAACGAACGCAAGAGTCGCTTCTTTTCCCAATGATTCGACTGTTCTTCCTGTAGTGTGTACTCGATGAAGATGGAATTCTTTCATAGGAACTGTTACATTTGGAGCAGTTGACATTGGCTGCAAGTGGGCTTGAGTGACAGTCACCAGAATTATCATCCAGAGAAGCGCAAGATATATGAAACAAGAAATCATGATCAACCCCACGTTCTGTTTAACTAAAAAATGTTATCCAGACGCCAAGGCAGCGTATTGGAAATTTGCTTATACCCCACTCCCTCTCAACCCCTCCCCCCCTGAACAGACAATGATCATGCAGCCAATCAAATGAGGAATATATCTAAATTTCATCAGCGCAAAAGCTATCGAATTTCTTGCCCTTTTTAATTGCTTAGAAACGAGAAAGTTCTGATATATTATTTAGGGACTGCGATTGATTGTAAAAGCGAAACATTCCCCAATATCCTGCATCAACCTTACTTCGTTCGCGTTTAGGGATAAGCTGTGATTCCAACAATGTTTTTACCTAAGAATTTCGTTGTATTTATGCTGATGGTTTTGTTCGTTATCGCTTCTGATTGTGATGCTTGGCGAAGGCGTCGTCGACGTCGATTTGTCTGTACTCCGCGAAGCTGCGAAGTTAGTTATTGGTCGACCTGGAGCACGTGCAGCACGGATCAGTGCGGGCAGCAAGGATCCCAAGGACGATCAAGAATTGTACAGTCCTTGCCAAGTTGTGCGGGAGCGCAATGCCCCGATCTAAATGAAACACGACTGTGTTATGGAAATAAACCGGTGAACTGTCACTTAAGCCATTGGTCGTCCTGGAGTGCGTGCAGCACGGATCAGTGCGGGAAGCAAGGATCCCAAAGACGATCAAGAACTGTAGAGTCCTCGCCAAATTGTGGGGGAGCGCGATGCCCTGATCTAAATGAAACATGGCTGTGTTATGGAAATAAACCGGTGAACTGTAACTTAAGCCACTGGTCAGAATGGAGCGCTTGCACTACTGTGTGTGGCGTATCAGGGAAACAGACAACTTCTCGCCATAAAACGAGAACAGAAAAATGTGGAGGAATATGTACGTCCACCTTCTATAAAACACGAGCCTGTCGTCTCACGAGTTGTTTAAACGGAGGAAGTTTAGGAGGTGAAACATGTTTCTGTAAGAAAGGCTTTGGTGGCAATTGCTGTGAGAAAGAAGGTAACGAATATTTAGAGTTTAAAATTTTTTTAAATGTTAGGTGTGTGCTAGCTTCCTTATGATCAAGTGGGAAGACATATGTCTTACTGCATTCATAACCTCTTAATCAATGCCCCGTTTACCCTACGAAGGATAAGTTTAGAAGCACTGTCAGAGCTCGTTTCCAAATAATAATCCGGAAAAACTGAACACATAAACCCACATATTTAAAAAAAAAATCCTCAAACTGGATAATATTTTTTAAAACGCAGACCAAGGTTCAAATTCATGAATTATTCTCTTGCGCTAACCTGGGATACATAGGTTATTTCGCCAGCTTCAGTTTAACTTTATCAACAATTTTCATTGCCTCGATCGTTTTATTGTCTTTTATAGATTCATCTTTGTCGACGGGTGAAATTTGCGGAGTAGTCATTGGCTCAGTCGCCGGGGTGTGTCTTTTTATCATCCTACCCATTAGGTTATATCTAAAATGGAAAGAAGATCGAGTCACAGCATTATAGTAAAGTTCATGTTTGTAGTCTACTTGCAGCTTTGAAGTAACCGACAGACATTCCTTTGTCTCCTAAGGAGTCCCTAAGGCACCCCTTGTATCATAAATTGTTTTGAGAAGAGCAGTTAACCATGATATTATTGCTCAGATGATTATGGAAGTAAAAATAAATTACCGAGCTCCTAAAAATGGCCCCTACGTGACTTGTTTATCTTCTTTCTTGCGATGGTTCAAAACTCAGAAATAAAACAGGATACTTTTGATGTAAATGTCACACATATCAGTTATTGTGGGTTTGCATAATTATATAATGAATGTATATTTTGTCAGTTTTAATGCGCTGATTGCATTACAATAATCAACATTGTGTAACGCTGTTGAGCTCTGCAGGTAATTTAGAGTTAACAACTGAGTTAAAGACGTAAATTGGCTACCGTATAGAGTTCTAGTAAAAAAGCTGACGTTTCGAGCATTAGCCCTTCGTCAGAACGATTGGAGGAATTGTAGGTTGTGTGTGGGTTTATATGAAGAAAGTGGAGTTACGCTATTGGTGTTAGTGTGGTGACCAGAAAACAAGAATAAATTAGACATGGTTTGATCCTACTCTGGTTAAAAATTTAACGAAAGTAACCAAAGAAGTTACAATTCATAGACCCAACGTTTCGACACTCCTGTCTAGTGCCTTCATCAGGGGTGATCTAAACGCTGCAACAAGAGGTCCTTTTATACGATCACTAATTAACTGCCTTTTTTCTGACGAGGTGTAAATAGGCGTCAGGAAGTAAGCCGGCGTCATCACAATTTAAAGGAGCGTAGGTGGAGTTAATATGCCACGCTTCCAAACAAAGGCGCTGGTGGTAACGCCGATTAATGGAGATAATTTTATACTAATCCCACTCAATTGTACAGTTAGTTAAGCATGTGTGCTCCGATAAAGCTGAATTTTCTTTTTCCGCAAAAGAAACCCGCTTTTTGATGCTCTTTCAAACGTGTACCAAACTGACGTTGGGTCTGCCCGATGTATTCGTTGTCACGGTCATTGCAAGGAAAAGAATAAATGGCTTCGGTTCGTTATTCTTTCGAGACAGGATCCTTAAGTTTGGTAAAAATATGCCCCAAAGATTTAAAAGGTTTTTGAGCAACTTTAACGTTGTGGCTATTCAAAATTGTCCTGATGGTTCAGTAACACCCTGAATGTAGGGAATAACAGCAAAGCCAGTCGCTGGTTCCCTTTCATCGAGAATGTTACAAGTTGTGACTGGTTTTTGGCAGGTACGGAGAAAATTTTTTACATAGCCATTCGCCTTTAAGACATTAGAAACATATTTCCTCTCCTCAGCCTTCGAATCGAGTGAAGATGGTGGGCAGTCAGCCCTCCTGAGTAAAGTGTTGGCTACAGACTTTTTATGGCAAATAGGGTGGTGAGAATCAAAAGCGAGGTATTTGTCGGTGTGGGTAGGTTTACGGTAGACACATGTCTCTAAATTCCCTTGAACCCCTTCTTCTCAAGGGCAAATGTCTATCCTTTTCACGCTGAAGGGTGAATTGGATAGACGGCGATAGGAGGCGCTCCGCTTCATTTCCGGATACCGCAGAAGTAACATCATCAACGTATCGTTTCCAGAAAAAGGGTTTAACCGCTGAAGTGGCTAAGGCCCTTTGTTCCACGTCTTCCATTACCATCTCCCATTACCAACTGGGATTTTAGTGAAGAGCGAAATAACGTCGAAAGATACTAATTCTTCACAAGCGTTAAGAGTTTTATCTCGTGTGAAATCCGCGAATTCGCAGGAATTTTTGAAAGCATAATCAGTATTCCCAACAAAGGCGACAAAATTCTCGCAAGATAACCAGAAATTGCATAAGTCGGAGAATTAACAAAAGAGACAATAGGTCTCAAAGGAATTCACGGTTTATTAATTTTAGGTAAGCCATAAGAACGTGGACATAAGCCATCACAACTGTATAACATTTTGTACGTATGGTCACTAATCTTAACAGCGTTTTTCAAATCAAGCATTATTTTATTGATTATTGATATTGCTGTTTGTCCATGACCACAACACAATTACCCTTGTCAGCAGATAATACGAGCCTGTCCGGATCCTTTTTAAGAGCTATAAGCGCATTGAAAACATCCTTTTGAGTTTTAGCACGCCTGAGTATGCTGCCTACTTCGGCTCTTATCAAGTGCCTACGTTCGTCGTTGAGTTGAGCGATGCTCTCCTCGACAGCGGCGACAATTTAAGCAGTTGGTATTTTGCGAAAAAATTGGTTGGATGAAAAGCGTTCGTTGATACCGTAAGGATTAAGAGTGCCGATTTGGAAGATAAACTTTTGTTCTAGTGTTTTGCGGCTCTCTGAACTGCCTAGATGTAAGGAAAGGCCGGAAACTGCGATATGTTGTTTAGAATGATTAGGGAGATTAAAGTGTCTAGCGACTGGTTTGGATGTGTCCTTGTCATTTCTTTCCACTTCGCGAAGGTGCTCTCGGAATCGGTCAACAAGTGGTCTTCCTGTTTCACCAATGTATAACTTATTGCAATAAGTGCAAGCTATGCAGTAAATGACGTTGGCGGAGGTGCACGTAATGTTGAACTCTACAACATTACAAACATGAAATTGATATCATGATGGGCACAAAAATTTGCTCTATAAAGGAAAATACGAATCATTCCTCTCATGCTGAAAAAAGAAACCGGCTCAATTGAGCAAGGCTCAAAAAATGCTGAATATGAATGGGGAGGTTCGTCGCCAGTAGCTCCATTTTGCTTTGAAGAAGCTCTGGTTCAACGCGAATAACAAGCTCAGAAGGATTTCCTGAATGAATTTTCGGATCAGATCTCAACAGTCTGTAAAGCATGTACATTAACAAACGGAGTAAGAAAAATTCACAGTACAACCTCCCCCGATCGCACCTCCGCTTGAGTTTGTCATAGAAATTGGACTCCTAATATTTGTCATCTCTGCTTACCTCTGACGCTCCAATCTAATCAGTGAGGGAGAGTAAATTAAGATTTGATGCAATTAAGAAAAAAATAAAACAAAACAAAGAGTCCCGTTAAGAGTATCTTAATTTAACAGCTCGCCATTTGATGAATTTCACTAAAGGAACAATTTCCCGCAGATGCCTTTACGTGTCACATATCTAAGACAATCCCCTGGTATGTAGCAACTTTGTACGAAGCTGCATGTAAGTTTTTTCTCACTGCGTATATTTTGGGAATTTTTCGTTACGGCAAGCGTGACTTTCCGTTTCAGCTTCTAGGAAACGATATCTTACTTTCCCGGAATTCAATAATTATTGTTACTTATGGAAAGGAAGTTGTAAGGATTAGTTTGTAAGGATTACTTTGTAAGGATTAGTTTGTAAGGATTACTTTGTAAGGATTACTTTGTAAGGATTACTTTGTAAGGATTACTTTGTAAGGATTACTTTGTAAGGATTACTTTGCAAGGATTACTTTGTAAGGATTACTTTGCAAGGATTACTTTTTAATCTACTGGCGACACTTGAACACTGCAACCCGATAGACGCTGCCACATGCGATTGGGTTATATTAACAAACCGAATTTCGTTTTTCTACCAATAAGGAAGTGGTTAACTTTTAAATTGTAAACTTTGGGTCCACGTTAAATGGCGTAATAACACGGAGATTAAAACTACGACGTGTCATATGACCCCTGTGTGTAGAACGCAAGCTTTAGAAGTTTGAATACAAATGTTACTTTGGCGAGGTTTCTGTTTACTGTGTTGTGTTTTGTTACTGCATGTATTTACGGACATATATCTGGGGGAGGGGGGGGGGGAGGAGAGCTAAAACGGGAGAAGATTAAAAGACCAATTACTGTATCTCACTTTAAATTGGAATTGTTCTTTGGTAGATCTGGAATTTGTGACGTTGATTTCAGTCACTTAAAGTACCAAAGCAGAAGACATGTACCCCTTGATGCAGTTCGCGTGACTTGTATATGGCAGATAACGACAGCGTACTTGGCCAAAAATAGGAAAAAAAAATGTCTGTTATTGTGGCTGTGCATAGTTAAATAATAACAACACATCAGCATAATCAGATCGTAATGAAGATTCATTCAGCAGATTGCATTACAGCCCAGAGCTCTACAAAATTCTAAAAAAGGCACAAGGAATGACACTGATATCATAATTTGCCAAAAAAACTTCATCTCATTAAGAATTGGTGAATACAATTAATTTATTTCCAGCAGAAAAACAAATCGGCTCAATACAGCTGGGCTCAGAAAATGCTGAGTATGGAGGAGGAAGTTCGTCGGCACTAGCTTCATTTTGTTTTTAAGAGGCTCCAGCTTCAACGCGAATAACGATCTGGAAAGAATTACCCGGATGAGTTCTTGTATCCGATCTTAGGAAAAAAAACTGTAAACTATGTACATCAGGAAGCAGAGCACGCAAACTCCACCGGTGGAACCCCCCCAACCCCCCCCCCCCCCCCCCCCAAATCAATTGTCTTCTCTGTGGCTCACCTCTGACGCTCCAATCTAATCTACTAGGTAGCTTAACGATTAAAATTTAGCTTTTTTATTCAAATTATAGAAGTAACGTGCAGAGTATTATGATTCAACAATTAGCCATTTGCTAAGCTTCGCTTGAGCAACCGGCAATTTCCCCTACGATGCCAATCACGTATTCAAATCTCTTAAGTTTGATTTTGTTTACCCTGCCCTCGTTTACAACATTTCGATAGGACACTACATGCAAACTATACATTCCGCGAATGTTGTATGGAATGTTTTTGATAACGAAACTGCAAGCGGTTCCCTTTCAGCTTCTAAGAAACGATATCTTCCTTTCTCAGAATTCAACAACAGATGTCTATCAAGGAATAGAAGTTGTCACTGTAATCTACTGGCGACGCATGAAGATTAAACGTTGTCACATGCGGTTGGATCATGTGAATTAAACGAATATTCCAATTGCAAACTTTGGGTCCACTTTGAATTGCCTACAGAAAGAGATATTAAAAACTGGACGTGTAAGATGGCTCTAGAATTTTGATAAAAAACGTTACTGTGTTGCGGTTTCTGTTGCTAAAGAAGTCATTTGCCCTTTTTACGTGACCTTACTTAAGTTTTGTAGAAGACAGATAAGAAAGGTGTAAACAAAACGTCAATAAGTACTTTCCGTACAGTTTAGTTGAATGAATTATATCCGTCTTGGTTAA